CACTGTTTCTTACCTATATTCACTTTTGGAATTTAGCAGGTAAATGGTTTTCTTCTCCTCCCCTCCCCCTGTGAAAAACTAGATATCACGCCCAAAATCCTGTTTGCTTATTAGCTGCCTTTCATGTTAAAATATACACGGCCATAGGGCCTCCCCTGGTGGCGCAGCGGTTGAGCGCTGGGCTGTGAGGCTGCACGCAGCCTCCGCAGCGCTGGTTCGTTCCCCGGCCGCTGGCGAGGGTCCCACAAAAAAAATACATATATACACGGCCCTAGAGAGAATTGAGGAAATAGTGCTCAACAATTTTCAGCTGTAATCGGTGGTCGTTCTTTATTACAGGCTTAGGAAATGCTTTCCTTGTGACCTGTTGATTTGGCTTTCTCACATATTATGTCTTCCTGGATTTTCTTCATTCCTATCTGGACTTTGGAAGTAGGAATGATATTGTGCAAGGAGAGAACACTGGTTTCAGCTCACAAACGTGTCCCTGAGGTTCCTTTGCCCTTGCCTTTGTCTGGACTCATTTACATGTACCCATTTTCCTTTCTAGCCATATTCTTTACTTTTTTTTTTTAAAGATTTATTTATTTATGCATACAAGAACTAGGGTATCGGCCAGAGGAGCTGGGAGGGGGGTGGTTTGAGAGGATTCACCAGGGACAGAGTGGGGAACAGAACAGGCAGATTGACTGAAAAACACTGCTGAGAGGGCAGCGGGTGACACAGGAGAGGTCTGCTGCGCCATGTGGGTAGCTCCCTGGCCAGCCGGGGATTGAACCATGGAACTTGTGCTGCAGAGGCTGTGGCTATCTTCACAGAGCTGTGCTTAACCCCTTGAGCCACCAGAGAGGCCCTCTAGCCATATTCTTTAGATACAGCTCACAACAGAAGAATGGCCAGTGAGTGGCATTTTGTTTTTACATCTTGAACTCAGTGTAAGAATTAAACACATTTGTCTTGTGCATCCTTTACCTTTTAATGATTTGTTTGAATCAAACAACATCAGAGTATATGTAATAGGTGTGTGTTCCTTGCAGCAGATTCCCTTAAATATTTTTTCTTTCTTTGGGGGAGAAAGGACTTTGTATCAGTCTGTAGCTTATCTGCAGTTATACTGAAGGCATAGGATCTGCCTTCGATGTTAATAAATAATTATCACAGTAGGTCTACAATCAACACCTGTTAATAAAGGTGCTAATTGTTCTCACTGGATTTAATTGTGCTCTTCAACCCTGATTGATCTTGGCAACATTTAAATCCCAAATTAGCTTTCCCCCAGTTATCCAACAAGTGTTTGAACTTTCTTCTCTTCCACTAGTAAAAGGCAGACTAGTTGGAATAAGCTCCTAAGCAAAACATGTGTAGGATGGTAAATTTGTGCTGAGAAAAGATAATGTATTTAAAATCAAATGTAGTCTCATGATTAGAGGACTGTTCCCATCTGTGTAGTCCATCATACAGAAGTGAGAGATGCTAGAAAGTACATATTTTCCCATTATTTTAAAACTCAGATCACCTCCCCCCTTTTAAAAGATTTTTCTTTTTTTTTCCCCCTTAACAATTTTATTATTTTTTTATTTTTTTTAAATAATAAATTTTATTTTTATAGTCCCCCATACAATTGCAAACGCCCCATTCTGACCCCAATCCTTCCCCTCCCGCCCCCCACCCCCCAAAAAGTGTCTCTGGTTCATAGTTTTTTGTTGATTTTGATTTTCACTTTCTTATATTCATTTTCCTGGTCCCTTATTTAAGTTTTCTAGATTCCTGCTATGAGTGAGACCATCTGGTATTTTTCTTTTTCTTTTTGGCTTATTTCGCTGAGCATGATCCCTTCCAGCGCCATCCATGTTGCTGCAAATTGCATGTGTTTATCTTTTTTGAATGCTGAGTAATATTCCATGGTATATATGTACCACATCTTCTTGATCCAGTCATCTATTTTTGGGCATTTGGGTTGTTTCCAAAGCTTAGCTATTGTAAACAGTGCTGCTATAAACATAGGGGTGCAGGTGTTCTTTGGAATTGATGTTTCTGTGTCCTTTGGGTAAATACCTAGGAGTGGAATTGCTGGATCATATGGAAGCTCTATGTTTAGTAGGTCCAGAAATCTCCACACAGCTCTCCATAGTGGTTGGACCAGTTTGCACTCCCACCAACAGTGCAGAAGAGTTCCTTTTTCTCCACACCCTCGCCAACATTTGTTGTTGCTAGTTTTTTTAATATGTGCCATTCTCACTGGTGTGAGATGGTATCTCATGGTAGTTTTGATTTCCCTGATTACAAGTGATGTTGAACATTTTTTCATATGTCTGTTGGCCATTTGCATTTCCTCTTCAGAGAAGTTTCTTTTTAGCTCTTCTGCCCATTTTTTGACTGGATTATTTTCTTTGTTGTTGCTGAGTCTCATCAGCTCTTTGCAGATTTTTGTGATCAGTCCTTTATCATTAGTGTTGGGTGCAAAAATGTTCTCCCAGTTGGTGGGGTTTCTCTTTGTTTTTGTTACTGTCTCTTTTGCTGTGCAGAAGCTCTTTAATTTGATGTAGTCCCAGCTGTTTTTCTTTGCCTTCACTATCACTGCTTTGGGTGATGTGTCTGTAAAGATGTCTTTGATGTGCAAATCCCGTAGTGTTTCGCCTATATTTCCTTCTATGTATTTTATGGTTTCAGGTCTTATGTCTAGTTCTTTAATCCATTTTGAGTTGATTTTTGTGTATGGTGTGAGGTAGTGGTCAAGCTTCATTCTTTTGCATGTAGCGACCCAGTTTTCCCAGCACCATTTATTGAACAAACTTTCTTTGCTCCAATGCATAGTCTTTGCTCCTTTGTCAAAGATTAGTTGACCATAAATCTGTGGGTTTATTTCTGGATTTTCTATTCGATTCCATTGGTCTGTATGTCTGTTCTTGTTCCAATACCATGCAGTTTTGATGATTATGGCTTTGTAGTATAGTTTGAAGTCTGGGAGTGTGATGCCTCCATTTCCTTCTTTTTTTTTCATTAGAGCTTTGGCTATTCCCCCCTGTTAAAAGATTTAATTATTTAAGCCTACGAGAACTGGGGTGTAAGCTGGAGGTGTGGGTGTGTGTGTGAGAGGATTCACCAGAATCCTCTGGTGATTCACAGAGTGGGGAATAGAACAGGCGGATCCACTGAGAAATACTGCTGAAGGGAGCAGTGGGCAAGACAGGAGAGGTCTGCTGCACCATGTGGGTTAACTCCCTGGCTGGGGATCTAACTCATGCCAAAGTGGCAGGCAATAGCTTGATAGGGCCGAGACTTTAACCCCTGCGCCATCAGGGAGGCCCTGCCCTTTCTTAATAGGAAAAGGCTTTCACAATTAATGCTCTTCTTATAAAGAACATGCAATTTAATACTACTCCCTAAGTTTTTACAGTTAAAAAAACTTTAATTTTTATCTTGAAGCATTTTTACACTACAGAATTCCACAGTGGCAATAACTTTCCACATTGCCGTATTTCTAGATGCAGAGATGGCTGTGTTTTCTAGGTCACAACGCTTTGCAGGACCCTTCCTGTCATAATACCTCTCTTGTTTTTCACCTGTGATTTGTGAACTGTTAACCGCTACCTAATCTTTTCCTAAAGAAAAGGACACTAACCAAAGAATTTTATGGGGTAGTTGATTCTTTTTACCTAACAGGATGAAATCCCTTTTAGAATTGTTACCAAGAATGACGCTCATTGAGTAATGCAGCCAGATTTGACACCTTCCTCTTCCTCATCCCTCTGTGTAATCCATCTCCAAGTCTTGCCCATTTTGCTCTGTGCTCTCTTGACTGTCTCCCAACCACACTGCCTTGGCCCAAGCCGCCATTACCTCATTCTTGGCCTCTGCAGCTTCAGCTTCCCAAGCCCTCCCACTTCGTACACTCTACACTCTTGTTTCCTTTCGGTCTGTTTCTCACCCTGCAGCCAGAGGACGCATTAGTGCTGCCTTTTGAAACATTAACTTTGTGCATAAAATCTCTCAGCACTTCCAGGGACAAGGACAAAATCCTTTCTGATTTTCTGGACTGTCTAGTCCTGTCCCTGGCAGCCTCTTCACCCTTCTCGAACCACATCTACCTCACAGACTACTTCTGATGTCAAAGCTCTGTGCAAGAGTCACTCTCTTTAGGAAGCTTCCCTAGCCACCTCCCTGCCCAGTCGTAAGTTGGAGTCCCTTTTGAGATTGATTGATTGTTTGATTTATGCAAGCACTGGGTACAGTCAGAAGCGCAGGAGGGTAAGAGAATTCACCAGAGCCAGAGCGGGGAGCAGAGCAGGCAGAAGGACCGAAGCACACTGCTGAGGGGAGCAGCGAGCGGCAGGAGAGGTCTGCGCGCTAAGTGGGACCCTCCTCCGGTAGCCGGGGATCGAACTGGTGCTGCAGAGGCTGCAGGCAGCTTTGCAACCCGGCGCTCAACCGCTGCGCCACTGGGGAGGCCCAGGAGTCCCTCTTGATATATTGCTTCAGCACCGTGGGTTTTCCCTTCTTCACACATCTGGGAGGTGAGCATGCTTTCTGTGTGAGGGGTGACTCTTGCACTAGACTGGAAGCCCTATGAGAGCGGGTTGGGCTGACGCTTTGTCCTAAGCATTGAGCACATTGCTTTGCAATGTAGTACTTGCTCAGTGAAATTTTGTTGTGTGAGTGAATCCAGTAAAATTACTGTTCTGCACTTTTGTCATTTGGTGAATTAAGGAATGGATAGTAGACTGATTGGCTTGTATTAAAATGGACGGTACCCGGTTTATAGGTTTATAGTCAGAGTATACAGTTGGGAATCCAGGGTTAGATTTTCCATCGACCTTTCTTTTGATCTCATACTTTCAGACATTTTGTTTGTTTGTTTGGTTTTTGTTCATTTTTGATTTAATAGCTCCTGGGAATAGGATTTGTTTATTAAGCTATGGTAAGTAATAAAGATTCTCACTGTCACAAAAGAGTGAATGACTGTGCCTTTGACCTGCTCTTCTTTTCCCCCTTTGGTGTAGGCTCTTGCAGCCAATGCTGGAACAGGATTTGCTGTTGCTGAGCCTCAAATTGCAATGCTTTGTGGGAAGTTAAATATGCATGTGAACATTCAGACTGGGAAGTGGGAACCTGACCCAACAGGCACTAAGAGCTGCTTTGGAACAAAAGAAGAAGTTCTTCAGTACTGTCAGGAGGTAAGAGTGTTGCCAGAAAGTTAAAACCGTGTTTTTTTCTGTGTCAAGTTTGAACCTACTTACCTTAGAAATAGATACTCTCAGTTGTCTCTTTTGGCCTGAGACCAAGTGGCTAGTGACTGGTGCACCGGCCTTCTTTCTAAGTGTATGAAGTGACTGAGGCGCCACTGTTCTCTCAGGGAGGAGTGCTGCAGAAGATTGGCAAGGACCAGAGAAGTACTGCCTGGTTTACTATGGGAAGATGTGAAGCAAAACAGGCCATGTGTATGCTTGTGCTTTCTATCTGCTCATGGAAAGCCACCAATATTGTAAATGATCGTCTCAGAACTGATTCAACTTGGTGTCAAAACCTAGCTTTGAAAAGAATATGAGATGTTTTAACTTCTTATCAAAACTAGTATATATGGCCAGGGTTGATGTATTCTGTACTTTTATTAATAAAATTTCCATAGACTTGCCTCTGAAATGTTATAGTTCCAGACTCAACTATTTACCACCACCCCCAACCGGGCTTGATAACATTTGTTTGGGGCTGCAAACATCCTTTTGCATGTCCTTAAATACAGACTCCTATTTAAGAAGAGAACACATTAGAAGAGGTCTGAAATCTACCTGTCGAAAGACAGTCCACATGTCTGTTTATAGGGTGAGTTCAGTTGACTTCAGGGCAGCAGAACAGAACCTTGGATTTCTAGAGGGTAATGGTGAAGCTGAGTAAACACAGACACTCCTCTTTATGTGTGAGTGGTTGTTATTTATTAGGTACAGAGTCAATATATTTGGTGTGTTCTTTTCCCTTGCAGATGTATCCAGAGCTACAGATCACAAACGTGATGGAAGCAAACCAGGCAGTTAATGTTGACAATTGGTGCCGGAGGGACAAAAAAGAGTGCAAGAGCCATATTGTGATACCTTTCAAGTGTCTTGGTGAGTGCCCTTTAGGAGTTCTTGGTTACTGCTAGGGAAGTGCAGGTGTCCCTCGTTTTCAAATTTACTCTTCCCTTGGCTCATGTGAAGTAGCTACATCTGTTAAGAATCTGAAAGCTCTAGGAATTTATCAGGGGACTTTCTGAATTGAATAATTACCTTTTTCTGGTGTCAGGAGTTGACTTGTCTTGAGGGTCACTAGCTCTCCTTGTCATTGTGAGCATCCTTCTGTCTTTTAAGGAGGAGCCTTTTCCTCCGGCACTGAATAAGAATGCTGCTAGCAGAGCAGGCCACCAGAGTGACTGGCTTACAGTCAGAATAGTAAGTGGTATTAAAACAGCCACCCCCCCCCCAAAAAAAAAAAAAAAACAAAACACAGCCACAGCACAGTCTTCTATTCCCCCTACTTCATCCCACACATGGCAGGGTCCTGACTTTCTGTTGTTAGTCAGACACTGTAGTATTTTTCAGGAAAAGTGACTGACTCCTAGCTGCCAAGGGGAGAGTCAGGGATGCTGGGGCCAGGTCCCGTGCCACCAGCCATCATGAAGGGCTCAGGTCTGGTAAGGATGCTTTTATCTCTGTGTGGTTGGTGTTAGCAGTCAGAGCTGCCTTCAGTAAAATTGTAACATCTTGTTGCCCAGAAACAGTTGTCGCTTCAGATGCATATTTTATTTGCTTAATGTATTCATCTTAACCATTCATCACTGATAATCTGAATCATACTCATGTTTCTGGGTGATTCAGAAACAGATCTGATCACAGAAGCTTAAAACAATTGATTTTAGATGATCCATGTAGGATTAGCACGGATACAGCATTAACATGGATATGCATGGTAGTTCTGAAGATGTATTTAATTTTTGCTGTTGAAGTAATTTATTCCCCTCCCTGCCTTCATTAAAATCTTTCTAAAATGGAATACATGTAGCAAAATAACAGGAAGAGTAAGCACCTGACAATATTTAAAATACATAGCAATTACTTTGTTTTCAAGTATTCAGAAGGTGAAAGGAGGGACATTGCCTGGGCTTAATACCATTTACTTTAAAACTGAGCATCATGCAGTAGTGTGCGTGTGGACAAGAATGTTCTTGAATATTTGTAGACAATAGAGAAATAATACTTGGCAATAGTTTCCTTTTGCAGAATCTTTACCTCTGAAGATTGCAGCCTGGTCCTCCTGCCCTATCTTCTATGTTACTTGCTGTTACCCTCCCAAAACTCGGAGCATGAGATCTTGGAGACCCTTATCTTCCCACACGTGCTCAGTTTACAAGCCAGCCTAATTTTTCTTTCTTAAATATGTTTATATTCATAATTCCCAAACTGCACTGAGGGTGTTTCAACAAACTCATAGGGACATTGCAGGATATTTTTGATTTTCAAGGGAAACATCTGTCAGACATCCTGTGAACTACTAGCTGGAGGTACTCAGTTTCAACATTAGATCATTCCTTTCCTTTTAGTGACCTCATATCTTTGTGGAGCTGTGCTTTCACATTTCCTGTGATATAAGGCCAGCATCACACCAAAATTGCTGTAGCAGAGGAAACAAGGGAGATGTGTTCAGTGGATTGAAAGTTGAAGGAGTTATGCAGTGAGGTGTTAGGAGACAGTCCTCGTTAAGTTGTTGCATGTGACTAACTTCTTAAGTTTCTTTTGGCATGGGGATGCTGTGAAAAAATTAAGAGACACTCAGGGTGCTATGTTGTTTCCATTGCAGCTTTCACAGTGCACAGTGATGGTCTGTTTATGTATCTTTTCTCCAGTTGTAAACATCTTGACAGCAGGCACCCTGTTTCACTCTTTTATCTCCTCAGCACATGCACTGTGCCTAGGTGGAGGGTACATGCTTAATGATAACTACAAATCAAGACTGCTACCATAGCTGGTACACAATAAACACTTCATTGTACTGCTTTCCCCTTCCCCCAAATACTGTAGTTGGAGTGTTTCAGTGTGTTATGGAACATAACAGCAAAATACTACTGTCATTAATTAAATGGCTAAAAGACAATTTGACCATAAGCTCTTCAGTATCTTCTTTGCATTTTGGTTACTGAATAAAACACTATTCAGTCTTCGGTGTTACATAATTCAGACAGTTATTTGTGTTTACACTAATAACCACTTCAACAGCTTCTTGACAGTGAGTAGAGCAATCCATTGGTATTTTAAAATAAATACAGTTGCCTGAGTCTAAGCTGATAACGTTCCTGGTGATTGAAGTTAAGGGAGATTGTAGGAAAGAAAAACTGGCAATTCTTCCTTGTCATATTTTAAGAAACAAAAGACTTTAATGTCTTTGCAGGACAGCACCACCTGTACTTTCATAGGATCCTTAGAAAATTCTTTGGTTATAATCTTTTAGAATTACTCTTGCCTTTTAAAATTAATATGAGGTTTATAAATGGTTGCAAAAAATAGTTCAAAGGACTTCTATACACCCTTTCCTCAGATTTTCCATTAATATATTTTATTAAGATCATAAAATAAACCCATCATCTATCTGTGACCCCCCCCCCCCAAGTGTCCTAATCTCCACTACCTGCTTTTGAGAGTTATTTAAGTTGCAGGCATGGTGTCCTTTTATCTATTAATTTTTCAGTGAATATTTTCAAAGAATAAGGACATTCTCCTGTATAACTGTAGTATCATCAAAATCAGAAAATTATTACTAATCTACTATCTCAGCTACAGATCTATTTTTAGGTTAGCCTGTTCCCATTACATCAGGATCTAATTCAAGATCTTATTTGCATTTGGTTCTCTCTATAGCCTTTTCCTATCTTTTATGACCTTAATCTTTCTGAAGAGTATAGACTGGGTACTTTGTAGGGTGCCTTGCAGTTTGGATTTGTCTTATGATCCTTTTGATTTCTGCATTTTTGAGGGGGCCATCACCAAAGTGTTCTTGCTGCATCATATTAGAAGTTAAAGGATATCACTTTGTTTCATTACCAATGATAACTGTTACCTCCTGGCTAAGATGGTATCTGCCTCCACCTATTTCATTAAGGACTCATTAAGGACTCATTAATGAACTAGGCTTGTCCAGTGGGAACTCCTTCATGCTGGTTCATGACCCTATAATTTTTTGAAAACTGCTTTTTTGGTACAACAAAGATGTCATATATATATGATGAAAACACACACACACGGAGTTGATTGTTTATTTCCCAAGAAAAACTCTTCTTTAGCCCAAATACTCATGTTTTGTAGTTCCAGAACACACAGGTCAGTGACAAACTTCCACGGAAGAAATTGTTTACATTCCAGAATCACTTTGCACTCTGAAAGATATCAGCCAGCTTTCTCATCTCCTCAAACTCCTTTATGGAGTCAGGCATTTCTCCAAGAAGCCCAGATTTTAGTGGGGAATGGTATTTAGAAGCCAAGATCCTGGGCATTAAGTTTTACTTACTTCTATTACAGTGTTAGGCCTTCTAAACCCACCCAGCAGATGGATATAGATATACATATAAACATTCTTGTATATAAAAAACAGTGAACTCATATTGACACTCTCCAATTCCATAATCCTTAGTATATTTGCACAGTATTCCCTGTAAATGATCAGTTTCTCTGATTCTTAAAAGGCTTATTTTTTTTAATTCACATAATTTACCCATTTAAAAATATACAGTTTATGGATTATAGTATATATTCATGGAGTTATGTGACCATATACAATTCTTTTAATATACAAATTGTACTAAAAATGGATAGTTTAGAAGTGTGAGTCCTATATACTTTATCATCTGTGATACCAACTGGTCGAGTTACAGCAACCAGTGTTACTGGAATGCCTTGGCTGTGAATACCTAAGGAGCCTGTGGAGAGTGGGCTTATGCAGGCAAAACAGGCAGGACTAGGTGTACTCTAAGCAAAAGAGGTTTTTAGTGAGTGCATTTCTTTTTGGCTGTAGCTGTGTCAAATAGTGATTTGGTTGAATTTTAATCCATAGCTTGCCAGTGTGGTTTAATTTCTTGGCTGTAGAGGTGGCTCTGCCTGCCCCAGCATGCATAGACATTTGGCCATGACTGGGACCTCACCCTCAATAGCCTCCTGGCTCTCTTTGGTTGTTAACCATACTCTGGGTGGCTGTGTTTTTTTGTTGTTATTGTTATGTTTATCACCACATGTTGCAGGAAAGAGATGGTGGTGATATGGTTAGCTTCCACCCTGATCTGCCTTTAAGCTGTCACTGCCCACCAAGCCCAAAGCATGGTCAGAAGGGTGAGGAGATCGGAACTGGGGAGAACAGGTTGGTGCTGCTACTCATTTGTTTGGATGTGTCCTTTGGCCACTGTTTTTTAAAGATTTATTTTTATTTATTTATGCATACCAAAACTGGGGTGTAGGCCAGAGATGTGGGGGGTGAGAGGATTCACCAGAGACAGAGTGGGAAGCAGAACAGGCAGAGCTACTGAAAAACACTGCTAAAGGGAACAGCAGGCAAGACAGGAAAGTCTGCTGTGCCATATGGGTTAGCTCCCTGGCCAGGGATCGAACTCAGACCACAGTGGCTGCCAATAGCTCGGTAGTGCTAAGACTTTAACTTTAGCCACTATTTTTGTTGAGGTTGAGGGCATGGTGTGTCTCGCTCGATGAGCATACTTGACAGCAGTTTGAGAATGAGTTTAGGTTGCTAGTGGGGTTTGCATCAAGCCTGCTCTTGAATTGTTTGTTGTCTGTGTTCACTCAGCTCTGCCGTGTCCTCAGACCAGGCTTAACTAGCTATATGACTCTTACCTGGTATTTCGCAATTTGGTGAAAAGGTACAGTTCAATCTTTCATCCCCCTCAAAATGAACCTTATATTTTAACTTAACACTGATTGCCCCCCTGTTTATAAAACTTTAGGTCGGTAGGATGATCCTAGTAGGACAGAGTTGGTGCTGTGTGAAGCAGCAAAACCGTTGGTATTTTGAGGGAAAGAATTAGTCATCTCTGACATTTATATATAGACGAGCTCCTGCACTAAAAGAAGAGAGCGTTGTAAGCCCATGGCCGGTTTTGGCTATTTTGGGATGAAGATTTGGACAGAGATGTTACTGTGGTGTGGAACTAGCAGAGAAAGTTGTTGGTCCTTAGAAGCTCTGAGGCATGGTCTTCGGCTACCACACCAAAGTCAGCTGGTATCTTGGAGCAACTCATTCATCCATACAAGTGTCCATTTGCATATGTGCCTTCTACCTTTCAATTCTTGATAGCCTATCAGCAGTTATTGAGCACCGTAATCCCAGTATGAACCCTTGGGCAGTGCCTGTTTATGCTCCTGATATTTATTCTGCATCTTTAATTTCTCAGAGCCCTGTTGATAAAGACGTCTGCTAGGGGTGGCTATTAGACCTTACAAAAATTTACATTGGGTGGTCAGGGTGCTTCTCGTTTTACTGTTTTTACGGAATGGTTTCTCGTGCCAGAAGAAACTAGACAAACCTGAGCTTGGCTTCCAAAAGCCCATAAATGGTACAGTCTTCCTAGAGAAGTACTTCTGCACTAGGTCTCTTTATACATGAATGTAGTATTGGGACTTCTCCAAGTAGGTAAATAGATTTTGTTATTTGTAAGGAATTTTAGTTACTCTCAATGAAAAATCTCTAAAAATGTGATGGTGAACATGGCCTTGTTTAGGGTAAAGCTAGTATGAAAGAAAAACAGCCATAAAGAATGGGTGGACAATGCAGATAAATCATAAATTCAGCTAAATGAATTCCTGAAGGTTAGGTTTTGCTAAATTGCCATATTCATTGATCAGTTTATTAAATCAAATAGCAAAAAAGTATCCGTTTCTATTTGTCCATTGAGTTGGGAAACCATCACCATCATCTGTTGTACTCCAACTGATTAAACTGAGGACCATTATAGCTGGGATCAATTTCTAAAGTGAGACCAAATCATTTCCAGTGTTCTTCTATAAAACAGAGTAATGGTGATCTGCCTGTCCATGTCAGTTTTTTCCTGGAAGTTGCTGGAAAATAATTGTAGCAAAAGCAAAATGTAGTGAAGGAAATGACAGAACTGAGATTGAAATGTGTTCCTCTTTTAGTTCACTTTTAAAAAAAATTTAGTTGGGACAAGTGATCAGAATTCACTTCGGGTTTTTGTGCTTGAGCATTTTGGTGTATAGATAGATGTAAGCCTTTTTCTTTGACTACACATGGCAATGTATATGCTTTTAAATGTGTTTCCCCCCCCCCCTCAACTGGGCTCATACTACATGTACTCTCCAGTTCATTGCTTTTATTTTTAGTACTGTAGTGAATATCTTTATCTACTTGTTCAATGATTTTCTTAGAGTGTATTCCAATCAGAATTGTCAAATCAAAGAGTTAAGCTTTTGGGATTTTAAAAAAAAATTATTTTTTAGTTTACTTTCAGATTCATGGTTTTAAGTCTTTTCTGGTTTGCAGATGTTTAGACAGTTGGATCAATCATGGAGTAGCTGAATATTGGTGACATTTCATTTTATAGTTTAACCTGGAGTTGTTTTTAAAAGTTTTGATTTTATTTTTTTTAAGATTTATTTTTATTAATGCATAAAAGAACTGGAATGTAGACCAGAGGTGCGGGGGTGGGAGGTGGTGGTGGAGAGAGGTTCACTAGAGGCAGTGGGGAGCAGAACAAGTAGATCTACTGAAATACACTGCTGAGGGGAGCAGAGGGCAAGATAGGAGAGGTCTGCTGTGCCATGTGGGTTTCCCCCTGGCTGGCCGGGGATTGAACTTGTGCTGCAGAGGCTGCAGATTGCTTCATAGTGCCGTGCTTAACCCCTTGCCGCCACCAGGGAGGCCCTAGGAACATTATTTTAAATCAGAGATGTGTGTTTGATGGTGTGTGTTTGATGGTGGAGAAGGGATCCTATACCTCTGCCCCTGTGCTGTGTTGCTGTAGCCCTGCAGCTGGACCTTAAGGCATTGAGTCAGGGAAGAGGAAGGGAAATCCAAGCATTGCAGCTCTGATGGGACGATGGGCTCTAGTGGCTGCGTGCCTTGGGCGGTATGTCCCGTGACCTTCGAAGATGAAGGATGGGCCTCAGCTTGTATACATTAGAGACTGCCCTGTCTACACCTGACTGTGTCACTATCATAATAATCTGCACTGAGGGTCATTCTTACCTGATCCATGATCAGACTTCTGACCAAGCTTTTCTTTTCCAGTGGGTGAATTTGTAAGCGATGTTCTGCTAGTTCCGGAAAAGTGCCAGTTTTTCCACAAAGAGCGGATGGATGTGTGTGAGAATCACCAGCATTGGCACACTGTGGTCAAAGAGGTATGGGAATGGGTGGGAAAAGTCTAGTGTTGTCTTTTCTTCCGTTTGCAGTTACTTGTATCTTCTAAATTAAAAATGTCTAGGAGAGAAATAATATTTTTGTGGGACATGCAATGTTGACAGTCCATCCCCTAAAGTTTAGGACATTAGACTGTTGCTGAAGGCTGCTGTCAGCGGGGCTCCCAAGAAGGTCATCCTAACCCCTGAAGCTGTGTGGAAACAGCCACAAAACAGCCACAAAAAGCTGTGTCTGGACAGATACTGACAGAATTAGGTGTCATTCATTCTTCTACTAGAAACACGCTTTATTTCATAATCTTGTTACCTGTAGGTAATTAAGTTGGTTCTTTAGTCACTTGTCTTTCTTTGGTCAGAGTCTGAAGCAGTCCCTTCACCATTGAGGAATGTAAATTATCACAGGACACCTTTTATTTTTTTCCACAATTATTTTTATTTATTTATTTTTTAAATTTATATGTATTTTATATCATTGTTCATTTTTAAACAATGTTTGCTTTCCCCCTCACCTCCCTCAGGTGTAGTCCCCACAGAATTTCCTTCACCAATGCACTCGTGCACCACCTCACAGTCCCTGTGCACCTCCCTCCCTCCCTGTGAACCTTCTCCCTCATCCTTTCCTGCAGATGTTTCTGGTTTATAATTGTCTGTTTGCTTTGTTTTGTTGTGTTGTGTTTTGTATTGTTGTTATTATTTTCCCCTGATGTCTTATTTGGTTCCCCTGTATTTCTCCTATAAGTGAAACCATCTCATATTTTTCTTTTTCCCTCTGACTTATTTCACTGAGCATGATCCCTTTGAGCTCCATCCATGTTGCTGCGAATGGCATGAGTTAATCTTTTTTATTGCTGAATAGTATTCCATTGTATCACAGAACACCTTTAACCATGTTGATAGTTAATAGAAGACATTCCCTTTTCCTTAATTTTTTCCAGTTTTTGCCTTTCATTGTTTTTGACTCAGGTGATGATTGCCATTGCAAGTTCAGCAGAACCTGTAAATTTTCTTAAAATTTAATATCGTCAGAACTTTGGACAGAAGATATGTGTCTACAAGAGAAGGCATTCCATGGTGATTTCATTTAGGAGCCAGGGAGTATGTGAACATGCTTCTGACGGGCCGTGTTCTGATGCTGGTCTGTCTCTTCTAGGCCTGTCTGACTCAGGGGATGACCTTGTACAGCTATGGCATGCTGCTGCCCTGCGGGGTCGACCAGTTCCACGGCACCGAGTATGTGTGCTGCCCTCAGACAAAGATCATTGAATCTGCTGTGTCAAAAGAAGAGGAGGAGGAAGAGGAGGACGATGAAGAGGAGGAAGAGGAGGAGGAGGAGGAGGAGGAGGAGACTATGATATTTATAAAAGGTGTGCACTTGCCCTGAACTTGTGACAGTCCTGTGGCCTGCCTGCCTCTGACTTCCAGCTAAATTGGGGGCCATGCTGGAGTTGAGGCAGCCTGTGCTTCTGTTCTGGCAGTAGCTGGTCGCAGGAGTGCCTGGCGCTCAGCTCTGTCTTGTTCTGGGCCACATTGGTTTCTGCCGGTCAGCATCCTCCCTGACCCCTAACTCTTCCCTCTCGCTGATGTCGCTGGACTCAGGGCTTTAGAGGCTTTAGAGTTAACTGAGTGCACTTTCCCATCTGTGTTTTTGTGTTTCAGACTAGGGAAGTGAGTGTTGTGCTCCGTGCACAGGCATTGGTACTAACCTTCCTTTTTCCCTGTAACGTTTAGTGAGTTTCCTACTGAAGCAGATTTGGAAGACTTCACAGAAGCAGCTGTAGATGAGGATGAGGAAGATGGGGAAGACGGGGAGGAAGTGGTGGAAGATCGTGATTACTACTACGACAGCTTTAAAGGAGACGACTACAACGAAGAGAACCCAACCGAACCCAGCAGTGATGGGACTGATGCAGAGAAGGAGATCACTCACGATGTTAAAGGTAACTCGGTGTAAAGCCATGGTGTTGAACTCCATTTGGTGTTATTTACTTAGATTGTTGGACTGCATTCAGCACAGGTCAGTCACCAAAGGAAGAGGTGCTGTGCTGTGCGCTGCAGAAGTTGGGCCCGCGGGGCACCCCTGGTGGCATCCCAGCGGCAGGCAGCTGGTCACTGAGGGCAGGGATGCCAGATTGAATGAGAAAGCTCCCCTTTGCATTGTAAGCAAGGACTTAATTGATGAACAAGCATTAGAAAGAAACAACACGTTCTGCCCTTGGGCAGGATTATTCCACATTCGCCCTAAAATGTTCTCTCCCCAAGGAAAGCCCCCTGCTCAATATTGTGAAAGCGCTGATCTTCTAGAATGGAAATAACTTCCTTCTTTTCCTGAGTGTGTTCTAATCTCTGGGCTGCCCAGTTTGTCCATTAGGAAGATGCTTGTAGCTGAGAGGGTGGAATTTAATGGCTTGCTGGTAAGGGATCAGGGACAGCAGTTTTTTCATCTTGTCATTTTTTAAAACAGGTTGTGACAGTTCTGGAGCCATTTAAAAACAGCCTCCAGCTGATTATATATTTGAGGCCAATTAAGATCCAAAGAATAATTTAGGAACCAGTGAAAATTACTTAGTGCGTCTAGAAATTTATGACTCACCTTGGGAAACATCAATATGTACCTTCGTGTAGTAAGGTCACAGGTGTTCCTTACTGACCTACTGCAGAATCACCACTGAATCAGCCCTTTCACCTGCCTTACTGCCCTCGGTCCCTGCCACACCATTAAGGGGGACCAATCAGGCATTGAGCTCCACTTGACAAATAGAAAGTGAGTGGGGCTCTCTGAGCTATGGGATATGGAATTTCTCCAACTCGTACATCAATCCAGACTCAAGATAGTGCAGGAAACATTTTTAGCTTCTAAATGTCTTCATTACATCAGCCAGGAAAATGGCTACATCCTGAGAGATGGCTGGCTTACATGGGTGAGTTAGTGCCAGGGCAGTCGGGTACTTCCAGTGTCGGCCTTCACTCACATCCAGCATCACCTGGTCCTTCCTCCTCACCCCACCCACCCCTGCCGGTGTGTCACATCAGGAAGCGTTTGAAGCTGCTGACTCTGTCCTGCTGACATTCTGACCATTTTCACACAGCTGTCTGCTCCCAGGAGGCGATGACGGGGCCCTGCCGGGCCGTGATGCCTCGTTGGTACTTCGACCTCTCCAAGGGAAAGTGCATGCGCTTTGTATATGGCGGCTGCGGAGGCAACAGGAACAATTTTGAGTCTGAGGATTATTGTATGGCTGTGTGTAAAACGATGAGTAAGTCCCGCCACACTGGCTCTGTGCGGAGCACCGTTCTGTCCGGCGTCCTGTCTTTCCCAGCTGTCCTCGTGACCGCGTCTGTGTAGTGCTCCCCGCCGCCTCAGCTGTTTGCTGTTGGTCATTCTCCTCCCCCATCTTTGTGCTTTCTAGATTCAGGCTGTGCTTTCCTGTTGGCAGTAGTGAGCTCAGTTTTCTCTCCCGCATTCACTGTGGGTGTCTGGTGGTGGTGTGTCCCCTCCTGGGCCCAAGTGCTGCTGTGTGGTCAGGACTGCAGCTCTGCCCTTGGCTATGTCTCATGTGCAAAGGTGATCAGATTAGACATGCGTTCTGCACGTGTTTGTTTCCAGGGTCTGTCCTTGTTCTTGTCTCTGAACTACCTTGTCCTTGACATCCCCTGGACCCCCACTACCCCCATGATGCATGCCAACTAATGGGGACAACCCACTCTCCAGAGAAGTGACAGGAAGGATGCTTCCTGGACACTAGAATATTGCAGTATCTTGCTCTCCGCACTCTAGGGAGAGGGCTTGGCAGCCACTCTGTTTCTCCAATATTCTGGCAACCCTGGACTGGATAGGACTTAAGGAAGTGAAGGAATTTTAGTTTGTGTGTTCTTTGGTCACAAAGGAAATCAGTGGTTCAGTTGAGTTGGACAGTTGTACTTAGTTAGGAAAGGTTTTGCTATTCTCCATGGTTACCCCGTCCCTGCTTCTCTTCTCTTGGCAGTTCTCACCCATGTTTGGAAAATCCTCAGGCCAGGCATCTTCCTAGGTTTTGATTCTGGAATTCGTTAGAATAATGAATTGCTGCACACGTTCCTGATATTTGGTTGTAGTTTCTGATGTTTTTTCATTCATCTATCTTCCACTTCCCTCTTTCCTCCTATGACCAACAGATTTTTGAAATCTTAACACAATGTGGTGTACCTTCAGTGCTTCCCCTGTACCACTGCTCTATGGAAAGGCTATTTTTATTTGATAGGATTGAAAGGGTGAAAAATGAGCCCTTGGGGAACTTTGGTGGTAGAAACTTTTTTTTTTTTTTCTTCTTCAGGAAAGGTGGTAGAGCTGGGAATTATTGTGGCATTTCCTGCTTGGAAAACTACTTAAAGAGCAACAAAATCCTATTTCAGGGTGAGACCTGAAGAATCAGGGGTCCTCGACAGCCTCTCTGACTCTTCAGGTAGTGATCTCCACCCTTAGGGTCAGAAGGTAGTTCAGTGAGACTCTGGAGTAGCGGTTCTTCAGAGCATTAGTAAAGGCTACAGGATCGTTGTTTCCTTTCCTTGTGGCAGGGAAGATGGGCCAAGGAGCAGCACCATGTCGTGTGCTGTATATCCCGGGCCGGAGGGCTATGAAAGCCTAGAGGTATCACTGCTTCACAGCCAAGTGTGTGGCTCTCCTTGAAGGGGACTGAAGTGGCTGAATGTGTTGCCTTTGTGAACCTGTGATTTTCACATAGGACAGAAGGAGTTGGTCTGAGCCCAAAGGGTCTTTAGCCCCAATCCTGCAGGCCTGCCACTCCTGGAGACAGCTAGTGCTTTGTGTTATCTTTATCCAGCACAGTGCTATGAACCAAAGACCGTCTCCAGCACATAAGCCTTTAAGCTGCAGACGTGTGTTGCTGGTGGCGACATGCTATTTGGCATAGCTGGCAATGCTTTGAAATTCTCCCTAACTGAACTTCTGAATGTGGTTTGTGTTTGAAAATTTGCTGTTGCTGTCCTGTTTAAACTTATGTCGGAGCCAGATACTCTTCACAAGAGTTTAGATGTAGCTTAGGGGTTTATTAAATAAAAGGGAATAAGTAAAAGATGCCCTGCCCAAAAAACTTTGTAGCTCACTAATTTATATTCTCAATTACACAGTTGTTCTAGTATTGTATTAAACTTATACAATTCTGGAAATTGGGTGAATTTGCCTATGAATTAAAGTTTGGTGAATTTCGGCATTTGTTGTCCACACAGTGCTAGCGTTACATCTTGAGATAGCAAGTTGTACAAGTGAGTCACAGTATCATTTTACCTGATCCCAGGAAATCTCAAGGGAATTGGCTGAATTAAAGTTTCCATAAGTGTTCCTTGAGAAGCTGACTAAGTAAACTTGTCACCTCCATCCTTGGCTGTGCAAAGTTACACTCCAGGGAACAGATGAAATTCTCTTTCCTCAGGCCAGTAAAGACATCTGCTCAGCTGGCAGTGAGGCGTGTCTATTCCAATGGGTGATTCTCTGGGTGATGACCTGTGAGGCCAATGAATGTCATGGATTGAAAAGCCCAGAGTATCTTCACACTCAGTACTTAGTCCTTGTTGAATACAGCAGCTTTGTCCTTGTCACACACAGCGACTTAGTCTCACCATTGTTGTTGAGGGTGAGAGTCCATCAATGGTACTGAAAACTAGAGTAATGTAGCTGGAGTGGTTTGGGCTTTCTCGCCCAGTCTATGTGAAAAGAGCATTTGGTAGAACCTATAAATAGCCGGGAAGGAGACCTGAACACTAAAATTTCTTTCAAAATGGAGACTCTGCAATTGCCTCTGCGGTCTGACTTAACCCCTCATCTCTGCTCGTATGTCATCAGTGACAGCATCCAGTGGTTGTGGTTTTTTGTTTTGTTTTGTTTTTTGTTTTTTGTTTTGTTTTTTAGGTTTTAAGATGAGAGGGAAGGTCTAGCAGAAGTGACTTCCTTTTCTTCCCTTCAGTCCTACGTAGATGCTTCTCCGCCGCAGATACCAAGGGCCTGGACTGGGCTGGTGGGTGAATGTTGTGTGGACAGTGGGAGCTTACGGAGCGCAGTGTTGGCAGACAGGGACACCCAGTACTGTTAGCATGGAATAAGCAATCTGGTCCATTCTGCAGGTCCTGAGCCCAGGTCTCTTCCTAGAGCACAGTGCAGCCTCAGCATTGGGCCTGACCTACAAGGAACGCCCTCTGTCACTTTCTTTCAGTTCCCCCGACTCCTCTGCCAACCAATGATGTGGATGTATACTTCGAGACCTCTGCAGATGATAACGAGCATGCTCGCTTTCAGAAGGCTAAGGAGCAGCTGGAGATTCGGCACCGCAACCGGATGGACAGGGTAAGCCTCGGGGCTCACTTTCACTCCATGACGTTTGGCTCTGGGTAGCCTGCCTTCATAGTTGAAGAAAAGGAACATCATCTCCCTAGACTGCCAGGCCGTTAGGATGGGTGAGCTGAGAGAGTGTGGGCAAGAGAGGCCTTCTGGGTGTAACTAGGCCTTCCTCCTTTGCCCTCCATCTCCATGATCTTGTAATACCCTCTGAGTGCTTATCAAATTCCAGATACTGAGTACTTCTTGTAATCATTATGTTTTTTGGGTTTGTTTGGTTTTTTTTTTTTACCATTAGCTTTTAATTTTATTTAAGGAAGGAAACTACATATCACTGTTATGAGTAGAAAGCTGGTGTCATTGGCCATTGGAACAAGGTAAAATAAAGTAGATTAAAAAAAACCTGTATGAAATCATGAAGGGTCAGATTCCCAGGGATGTTTTCTTCTTCTTGAAAGGATCATAAGTGTTAGAACAGTGTGAGCACCAGGATGCACCTTCCTCCTAGACTTACTCAGAGGAGCAAAAGAAAATGGAAAAGGGAATCTCTTGCTCATCTGAGAGCCACCTAATTCCACACATTACCTTTATTGGGCTTCCACTTTGGGGAAAAGCTCATGGTTGTATTTATCGGTTCTGAGAAGGAGGGGTGTGAGGAGACTGTGACACTTGAGGAGTGGAGACCCTCTCTGGGGATGGTTGAGGCCTACAACCTTCTGCAGCAATAGTTTTGCTAAGACAAAACTGCCCTGAATTCCTGAGGGGTTGTGGTGCTATATCCTTTGCAGTTTCCTACATCAATTCAGGGCCTGGCAGTATTGTTAGAAAATGGGGAAGTTGTTTCAGAGATTATTCCAACTAGAGTGGTTTTGACCTTTGTTGTAGGTAAAGAAGGAATGGGAAGAGGCTGAGCTTCAAGCAAAAAACCTCCCCAAAGCGGAGAGGCAGACACTCATTCAGGTATGGCATGCTTCAGGGACAGAGCTCTGAGCCTGACTGTCCAAAATGTGGTCAGTGCCAAGCTCCCAGGAAATTAGTTTGACACCTCTTTTTTAGTTGAGAGCTTGTTACAAAGACGTTTTAACTGGACTGCTTTTATTCCCCACCCCCATAGAATTGGTCACATGCAGTAGAAGAAAAAAAACAGACCCCCATCCAGAGTGCTTGTAATTCATGCCAAGAAGTAACCTTAGCTCAGCCACATTTGTTAATTCTGTTCTATTGGCAAAAGTCCTTGGTCCTCTTCATTCTTAGGCTGTGACTTGTTTTTTCAGCAATAGTAGAATTTTTTTTTTTTTTTGGGCAGACTTAATAAACATCAAAAGACAGAAAATAAACCTCTCTGAAGCCAGTTCATCTCTAACCTTGTAAGAATGTAACCTTGGAATCCTAGCTGTCACTGTTTTTCCCTTGGAATAGAAGAGTATTGATGGGAATAGTGATAGCAAGTTTTACAAGACTGATTTGGGTTTTATATACATTTTAAATTACTTTGTGCTCATGTTTAGCTGAAATCTCTCTCCTTGGAGCACTTTTTTTTTTTTTTTTAAATCAATTACCTAAAAATCTAGAGTATGAATTCCAACATAGTGCTTTACTCTGAATGCCTCAGCACAACCCACCTCATCACTAGAATATCTTTCAAAATATATCTCTCCTCTTGGTCTGCAGTTCCAGTATTTGGTAGTCTGCACCTTGCTATGATGCATAAAGGACAGTGATCCTTTTCTTGCAGTACATATTGAGAAAGCAGATATTGGGCTTGCGACGTTAGTTATTTCAGTTAGGGAAGTGTTGTCAAGAACTCCTGACACTTGGATTCACTGTGTTCTCTAGATAAGGAAGCAAAAAAGTTTATCTAGATGCTCTACTCTGAACCGCCTCTGGGTTTGCACCAGGCAAGGAGAAATGCAACATTGGGGTCTTGTTAGCTTAGACCTCCTCCAGGTGCTGTGAGTTACATGTCTTTCCTCCTCCTTGGTATAGCACTTCCAGGCTATGGTTAAAGCTTTAGAGAAGGAGGCAGCCAGCGAGAAGCAGCAGCTGGTAGAAACCCACCTGGTTCGAGTTGAAACAATGCTGAGTGACCGTCGCCGTGTGGCCCTGGAGAACTACCTGGCTGCTTTGCAGTCTGACCCTCCACGGGTGAGTGTGCAGAGTCTACAGGGGCTGTATCCTTAGTTGTGTACAGGACTGACGTATGACACACAGGTCAGTATAACTTACCTTTTTATGACAAGAAAAGAAGGAAACAAGATTAGGTAGAAACAGGTATTCTGTCTGGTATCTGCTTTAGTAAGCTTAGCCTTGCACTGCAAGTCTGCTGGTGCCACTTGTGAAGCCAAAGTATTTTACACTAGAAAAACATGACCTTGGGCCTCCCCCGTGGCGCAGCGGTTGAGCGCTGGGCTGCGAAGCTGCCTGCAGCCTCTGCAGCGCCGGTTCGATCCCCGCCGCTGGCGAGGGTCCCACATGGCGCACAGACCTCTCCTGCTGCGCCCACTGGCTCCCCTCAGCAGTGTGTTTCATCAGTCTGCCTGTTCTGTTCCCCGCTCTGGGTCTGGTGAATTCTCTCATCCTCCTGCGCTTCTGACTGTACCCAGTGCTTGTATAAATAAATAAATCTTAAAAAAAAAACCAAAAACATAACATAACCTTGGCTTATTGGTTGGCGATTAACCAATTATCGAATTTTCTATAGTAGCCTTACTGTCAAAGGCTAGCTCTAGTCTAAATAACCAGCTCTAGTCTAAATAAGATTGTTAGAAAAGGTTGGGAAATTTACACTGAGATTCATTTGTGCTAATGATCCCAAACTTTTTTTTATCCCTTAGCTCTTTTTTTTTTTTCCAGCATTTATTTATTTAATAATTTTTTTTTTATTTTTTACATCATTGTTCATTTGTAAACAATATTTGCTTCCCCCCACCTCCTCAGGTGTAGTCCCCATAGAGTTTCCTTCCCCATTGCACCTGTGCACCATCACTTCAGTCCCCTGTGCTCCTCCCTCCCTCCCTCTAATCCCTCTCCCTCCTCCTCCCCTGCAGTTATGTCTCTGTTTTATAATTGTCTGTTTCTGCTTTGCTGTGTTTTGTACTGTTATTTTTTTTTTTTAGGTTTTTTAAAATTTATTTTTATACAAGAACTGTGGTACAGGTCAGAGGCAGGGTAGGGTGAGAGAATTCACCAGAGACAGAGCAGGGAGCAGAACAGGCAGACGGACCGAAGACACTGCTGAGGGGAGCAGCGGGCGAGACAGGAGAGGTCTGCCACACCATGTGGGAATCTCCCTGGCCAGCCGGAAATCGAACCTGTGCTGCAGAGGCTGCGGACAGCTTTGCAGTGCTGTGCTCAACCCACTGCGCCACCGGGGAGACCCCCCCTGTTATTATTTTTTTACACTGATGTCTAATTTGGTTCCCCTGTATTCCTGCTATAAGTGAAACCATGCATTATTTTACTTTTTCCTTCTGGCTTATTTCACTGTGCATAATTCCTTCTAGTGCCATTCATGTTGCTGTGAATTATCCCTTAACTCTTAACCCACCTTGCTGTGGGAACATGGAAAGTTTTGGGAGGGAGGGTGTACCCTTCTTAAGTAGTCTTTTCCGATTGACAGAGACTAGCCAGCATGTAATTAAGTTGTCAGGCTGAATTTGGGAAGAATAGTTCAGAGGAGGACAGTGGCTTAGAGATTCTGGAAAATACTGTTTGTGAAGGAGCCATTATAACTTTGGACTTGGCTTTTGGTACTTAGGTAACTTCTAAGCTATGCAGTAAGCGAAAAGCTTTTAAAAGTACAGCTTTCATTCTTCTGCCTCACTGAATTTTGCATTTTTATTTCCATTCTCTTGTCTCTGGATGGTGAAACAACTGTTCTCTCTTGCAGCCTCATCGCATCCTCCAGGCCTTTCGGCGTTATGTCCGTGCTGAGAACAAAGACCGCCTGCATACCATTCGTCACTACCAGCACGTGTTAGCTGTTGACCCAGAAAAGGCGGCCCAGATGAAACCTCAGGTACACAAGACAGAGCAGAGGTGGCTCCGGCACAATGTTTCTAGATTCTAGCCGGGAGAGGCTGCTCAGGCCCATGACTGCACAGCACTGACGGTTGTGCTTGTTCTTAACCAGAAGAAATGCTTTTTGGTTTTTAGAGACATTAGGTACAAGAGTTAGTTTTTGCAAAGGTAGTATTTTTAAAATATCTTTTCCAGGTTTTTTTCTTATTAAGTACTTTTTGCATAGTTTTTGAAAGTTTAGAACTGCATGATTATATTGAAAGGTCAATTTTAAAATCATTTTTTTATATCAGTTTATTTCTAATTGAGGGTACCACCAGGCAGAGGCATGGTGAAAGCTTTTTCAGGTAGGTGCATCAAGCAGATCTTAAAAATCTCATTTCATGTATTATGACCTCTGTTTAGGCAGACACTTCACATTCTGGGGTTTTGCCCCAGGCTGGTTCCACCTTTACCGGTAGAGGTTTGTTTTGGGTGCTGTTTTTAATTTGAGTAAAGATTTATTTTTATTTGTGCATAGAAGAACTGGGATGTAGGCCAGAGATGCGGGGAGTGAGAGGATTCACCAGATAGTGGGGAGCAGAATAGGTGGATCTACTGAAATGCACTGCTGAGGGAAGCAGCAGGTGAGCCAGGAGAGGTCTGCTGCGCTCTATGGGTTAGCTCCCTGGCCAGAGATCGAGCTCATGTTGCAGTGGCTGGCGATTTTTCCAGTCAACGTGATTTTTTTTTTTTTTTAATCTTTTTTCAGTTTTTTGGTTTTTTTTCCTCCCCTGTAAGGAAGGACTGACTATTGTGAAGAAAATTAGCCTATGACTATGGCAGAGGCCCAAAGTTTATATCAAATGGACACAGAAAATTAGCCTTTTGTGTGTGTGTGGTGAGACTATAAGGAACGGAGAAACCTTGATCAGTATATTAAGTTAACAACTCAGAAATGTCACCTGTAAGCAAGATCAAAGTGTCACCCCATCTAACATGGGAAGTAGAAACTTCGAATCTTAAAAATCTCAGGACTAGGTCTCCTGTGTGGTACCAGTTGTCTGTTCTAAGCCTTCCATTGTCATGAACCTTTGCTGTTGAAATACACAAACCTTTTGCCTGGTCTTTTTCTGTTACTAAACTCTAGAAAAGCTTGAATGTGTTGAGCTCATCATAGTATGTGCATACTTGATTTTGGGTATGAGTGAACTGGTGCATTTCCTCACTCATATGGTGCATTCCCTCACTCGTATGGAAGCACAAGGATTTACTACAAGGACACCAGTACCAGTATTTCACCCTCTGGGTAGATGAGCTGTCCTCTCTCAAATGCCTCCTTAATTTGTCCTAAGAAGTAGAATAGTGACCAACCCCTGCCAAGATTGCAGATGCTACACTTCAATATTCCATTTGTATTTTTTCCTCTAAGGCAGCTTGGTTTTGTGCTTTCCCATCAACTTACTTGATTGAAAGAATGGCAAATATAAAATTAAATGGCTTTCATCTTTGCTTTTAAATAAAAGGTCAAGAGACATCAGTCTATAATCAAATCATCTTGAACTTATTTCTCCATTTTGACCCTTCATGTTAATGGCTTCAAGCCCACATAATTAATCTGTTGCCTTAGAGAGCCCTCTTTAGGAAGAGCTCGGTAACTGCAGGTGTAAATAGCTAGGCTTACCATCCAAGTAGCTTGTGTGAAGTACACAGCACAATACTCCACTGGGATGGGTGGTAGCCCAAATCACCTTTCATTTCCTCCCCAGAAAGCTTTAAGAGTAAATGATCAATTTTAATGGCTACCTGTTCCTTCTTTCTTTTACAAACAACCTTGGAACTTTTACATTAAGTAGTGAGTTACTGAAAACTACAGATAAATCTTTCTTTATCATCCCTTAGTATCAGGTTTCTTTATATCTCAGTGTAAATCTTTCAAAGAGTAGCTAATTTAAATAGGAATAAACTAGTTCTGTTACTCGCCATGATTATCATCTTCAGCAGTTACTTCACCGAACAAAATCCATGAATCCCTTTTCCTCTGAATCAACGTTTTAGCCAGTGATTTCATTCTCCTTTTTTTATCCCATCTAATATGTGGTAAAATTGGCTAGTGAAGGTTTTTAAACTTGCTTTTCACTTGGAGCTTTCCTTGTGGATAAATATTCAGGTCACTGCGGGGTATTACACTTCACCTAAACACATGCTTATACTTCAATGCCTGTAAAAACGGTGCGGGGATTAATCTGTGCCCTCTGACCCGCTGCTTCACTGGACTACAGACAAAGACTCAGTGGACTTTGTTGAAGAGTGTGTGAGTGTCTCCGCCTGTAGTAATCTGCCTTTGATGACAACCTTTCCACCATACTGTACTTTCAGGTGATGACTCACCTCCTTGTGATTGAGGAAAGGAGGAACCAGAGCCTCTCTCTGCTCTACAAAGTACCTTACGTAGCCCAAGAAATCCAGGAGGAAATTGGTGGGTGCTGACTGTTTGTGTGGAGGTCATGTGGGACTTCTCCCTGAGGCCCAGGAGGGATGGGAGTGAGAATTGGGGGCAAGCAAGGCCATAAAGCTGGCACTAGTCTGCCATGGTTCAGAAGTCCGGAATTCACTGGTGTTTGCTTGGCAGTGTCAAGGAGTAACTGAGGACAGATGTACTGGCTCTGAGCCACTGAGCCTTGAGTTTCATTGACCTTCACTCTGTTACCGGAAATAAAATCTAGGGTGTGAAATTGCAAGGGACTTGGGGGAATTTCCTGTGATCTTCTGTCTGCCGTGTGTGTCAGCAACTAAAATGGTAGGCAGTAATATCTCCTGAAGCACATCGTAGTAGGAGAAAGGCAATAAAACAAGCAAACAAGTCACGATAGTGAAGAGTGCTGTGTGGAGAGATGACTTGGGTAAGGGGAGGCTGTCTTGGGGGCTGTAACCTGGGGTCCGATTAGTAAGAAGAAGCTGTCCTTGCACAGAGCACATGGGGAAAGACATTGTTAGCAGGGCGAGTGACTATGGCAGAGGCCCAAAGTTTATATCAAATGGGCACATTTGAGTAGATCAGTGTGGCTAGACCATGGTGAGGGTGGAATAAGGCCCAAGAAATAGGCAGAAGCCAATGTTAACCAATTTTTCAAGGTCTGGATTTTATTCCAGGAGAGTGGAAAGCCATTAGAAGGTTTAAAACTGGGGAGTCACTGCCTCTAGATTATGCCTTAAAAAAGATGTGAATTAAAAAATTACTTGACCACTGTGTAGAGAAATAATTAAAATTTAAATCAAGTGATTGTGAAAAACCAGAAGTGATTGTAAAAAACCAGAAGAGATCGGATTGATGGTCATGGGCACTGAGATGGTGATACAGGAGACGTGGGTGGTCCTTAGGAAGGGGGCACAGTATATGCTGACGGCTGGGTAAGGGAGGTGAGGGAAAGAAAAGCATCAAGGATATCCAGCATGCAGGGGTCATTGTGAGACCTCAGTGGACGGTGCTGCGTAAGTTAACTGATAAGGAATTCTCTCTGTCCTTGTTAAAGTGGAAGTTGTTGTTGGACTTGAAGTGGAAGTGTAAGGTAGGCTATTAGATGAGCCAGAGCAGTAGGTGTGAGATACAGCTTTGGGAGGCATGACATATGGGTGGTATTTAAAACTGTGCCTTCATTGGATGAAGTCACTTAACTAGAGGGTGTTGCTGAGAAGAGAGGGGTAGCCAGGAAGGCACCTTGGGGTTCCCGGTCTTGGGTTCTACAGATTCCTTAGAATTGGGGAGCAGGTATTTTGGGTAGGAAGGAGTGTGTGGAAGAGGCTGTTGGTCCTGAGCTTGGAAACTTGGTCTATCTGAAAACCTGATCCCTCCTGTATCTCTTTGTCAGATGAACTGCTCCAAGAACAGCGTGCCGACGTGGACCAATTCACTGCCTCCATCTCAGAGACCCCCGTGGACGTCCGGGTGAGCTCGGAGGAAAGTGATGAGATCCCACCATTCCACCCCTTCCATCCCTTCCCATCCTTACCTGAAAACGAAGGTGTGTATGATGGACCACACAGTTTCTTGGGGGTGGGGGCACAATTAAGGTAGAAGTCAGGTTTGTGAGCCTGACTTGTGTTGGGGAGGCTGTGCTCCGGATGACCATCGGGCACACAAAGGAAGTCTGGATTTACTGGGCACCTGCTCCATGCAGGCACTTACAGAGTCAGTGTCTCCAGAGGTTAGTGATGCTTCTCCCATTTTACAGGCAACTTGTTTAAAGCCCACTGTTTCCCTGGTCCCATCAGCTGTGTTTGTGATGCTTACATATGGAAATCACTTTGCAGTTTAAATTGCACTTTCATGTTATCTGTTGCCGTTTTCTTTCCATAATAATCTTGGGAGGTGGGCGATGAAGAGGCTTTGGGGGCGGAACCTGTCAGGGTGACCGCCCTGGTGGGACCGCCCTGGTGGTATTAGGTGGTGCTGAGATGTTGTGCCCCTGACTCCCAATGGGGCATGCTGCTTCTATTCCCTTGCTGGTTCTTGATGTCTAAAAGAATCTCTGAAAGCTGTGACTCTGCACCAGAAATAAACAGCTCCTGAGACTGGTGCCCTGAGACCAGGGTGTGGAATCAGATTCTATTTATTTGTCCACTGCTGATGGTGGTGATGATAAAAATAGTGGTCAGAGCTAGAGTCATTATTAGATGGCAGCTTCAGCTAAGCACTAAACACGGACACGTGTTTAATCTCAAAAGCTCTCTCTAAGGGGTAGGTACTGGGGCTGTCCGCATGTGGGGATTCCAAGATTTAAAGAGGTTAAGTGCCCTGGGTCACGCAACTTGTAGGTGGAAAGTCAGGATTTGAACCCAAGCGCACCAAATGGGAAGGACAGACCTTAACAGAAATGTCTTCTAAACTAGTTATGTCAGGCCTACCAACTCAGTACAGCTGACCCTCCAGTCATAAGACCAAATCTGAAGGAGTTGGGTAAATAGAGGTACCACTGCATTCCTAAAACCTACTCAGACAAATCCCAAACCTCCATGGGCCTGCAGGGTTGCCATGCTTACATAGTTTGTTGGGGAGGGGCATCTCGGATACATCTGAACTGCGACCTGGTCTCATCAGAAAACCACAATCAATGCTGACTTCTATTTTTGAAGGAAAATAGCTTTGCACATTAAGCTAAGTAATTTGGGAATCTCCCACAATTTCCCCTTAAAGACCCGGGATAAAAGCCCCTTCTTTCCAACATTCTAGTCATTTGCTGGTTTGTTTATGAGATGTTTCAGCCATGGTTTTTAAGGAAGAATGCCTTTTATTCACATTACAGAGAAATTCTAAGACAGGAATTTTGAAAGAAGCTGTTTTCTTTCTTAATCTCCTTCTGTGCTATTTTGTTTTTATTGTTTTCCTTTCTGCTAGACACTCAGCCGGAGTTGTACCACCCAATGAAAAAAGGTTGGTTTGTCAAAGATGTTCCCCTTAAGACCTTCATTCCTTTTCACCTCCCCAGTGTGTCAGCTGTCACATTTTCTGTCTCACATCACCTGGCTTTTTCCACCTCATTTCTTCAGACGTGGCTGCGAGCAGAGCCAGCGTCTCCAGCACCTAGAACCCAGTGTCAGTGGTATTGGTGATCAGGTGACCATCTAAACTTTCCTTCTGGATGGCCAGAGAATACAGAGTAACCAAAATAGGTCTGTTGCGTTGGTGGTATAGTGGTGAGCATAGCTGCCTTCTAAAATAGATCTTTTCATAAAGCCTTTTAAATCTAAGTAGACTATTCAGTGTATATGCAGTTGCAGGAGTCAGGTGGAGAGTCTTTTCTTTTTTCTGCTGCTCCCACTTATATCTTTTTCCTTTTCAGCTGTCCTTCTGTGTTCAACTGTCTGTCTCCCCAAATTTTAGCATTCCTCTGCTGATGGGTGAACCAGGTTGGGGCAAGTGAACTCTTGCTGTAGTGAGTCTCTAGGTTTCAGAAGAAGGTACCATTATGTAAGCACTGTGCCTGGTGCATTGCGTGCTTGTTCTCACTGAATCCATACTTGTTAGGGGGATTTTTAGTTCTCTTTCCTGGATTAGGGTTTGCTCAAAGTCATGAATTTAAGAAGTGGAGGAACCAGAAATTGACCCCAGCTTCCTCTGTGTTCAAAGCCCAAGTGATTTCTGTTAGATAAAATGCCAGTGTCGGCTACTGAGTGTTCCCGGCTTGTTGGTAGGTCACAACCCCTAGTGTCATCCTCAATTCAGAGGTGCCGTGTCCTCAGCGTGTTTTGTGAGCCTGCTCTTTTGACTTTGCCAGACTGAATGTGGATGGATCAAGTGGTGTTCCCTGGCTAAGAGTTTCGTGTCTGTTTTATGCCACAGCTTTCTCTCAGGATATATGTGTGTCATTTGCATCTCCCAGACACCACTTAAACATAAATGCTTTATTTTGTTTTATTTGCATAGGCCTCTTCTTGGGGAGATCTGTGAGCATTCCTCTGAACAGCACACATATTTATGCAGAACGATGAATTTTTTTAGAAGCTTAACTGATTTGTGCCTTCCTACTTCACCTATAATTAATAGAGATAATTTGAACATTAATTTTGGTCTCACCATGTCACTTGTTTATGCTTTCCATAAAACCAAAGTGGTTTTAGTCAATGTTAATAAATACTCTGCCATGTACTAGTAAGACTTTAAATTAGTTGATGCCACATTCCTTTTCTTTTTTTTAAAAGATTTATTTATGCGTAGAAGAGCTGGGGTACAGGCCAGAGGTGTGGGGGGTGAGAGGATTCACCAGAGACAGAGTGGGGAACAGAACAGGCAGATTGACGAAAGTACACTGCTTAGGGGAGCAGTGGGCAAGTCAGGAGAGGTCTGCTACCCCATGTGGGTTGCTCGCTGGCCAGCTGGGGATCACTTCATAGTGCGGTAATTAACCCCTTGCGCCACCAGGGAAGCCCGCCACATTATTTTTCAAATAGGGTCTTGCCTCTAGGATTAAAAGTTCTGAGGAGAGAGATGGGAGCTAGGGTTTATTAGGCATGAACCTGAGCATCGCCGAGCAGCTGTTCTCCAGATTCTTCTCTCTCAAAGAGTTGATGTGCAGGATTTGCTGTTTGGCATTTTGAAACTACAAAAGCCAGCCCTGACTTACCCTAGAAACAAGTTGTGAAATTGTGAAATTCTTTATAGTGAAAGCTTTGGGAGAAAAAGTGCCATTTGGGGCTGCATGCTAATGAGCTAGTGCATCCACAGCTGCATTGGCTGTTAGTAATTGCTCGGTGTCAAGAGCAAGTCTAGCTGGGAGGCCTTGCTGTGACTGGGCCTACTGTCCGCTTGCCTTTGGCAAGCCCAGTGACAGCAGTGCTATGCAGAGACTCTTGTGGGAGCCAAACTCCATTTCAGGTAGTCACCTCAGCACACCAGGAGGTCCAGATCATGGGTGTTTATATGGAGTGGTATATAATATTATCCATGAGGAATTCTTAGGACTGTTAGATATCACATGCTTTGGAGCTAAAAATAAGGAGGATTGCATCTTCCTTCCTCTTCTTGGGTTTGTGCTGAGTTCAGTTACACTGTCTTGAACACACTGGAGTTCCACGCACAAGTGACGTTGGCTCAGGTGATACCTGACCTTGATTAGAGGTATATTGCTATTTTTTTCTTGCTCACTTGATAGAAAGTTTCCTTTCAGCCTGCTGTTATTATAAGTCTCCCTGTTTATGGAATGCTTCTTTCCTGTTCATTCTCTAATAAACATGAAGGTTGTGATCATCTGATGCAGGTCCTGAGAGGATTACAGTCCAGGAGACAGAAGATGTAATTATAAAGCAGTGATTATAACCTGGGGTGTCTCCCAAGCTGAGCTGCAACTTGAAGGACAAATAGCAAGGGCTCGAGGTCAGGGAAGGTAGCTCAGGCATAAGAAGCACCTGTGGATGGTGCTCTAGGTAGACAAGCAGATTCACTGCGTGTGCAGAACTGCCTGTGACAGCTCTTTCATTCAGAGGGAGCCCACGGTGTGGGAGGGGCAAGTAGTGGGGTAATAGGTGCTGGGTGATGTCCCAAAAGGTGCGCCCTGTGCTTCCATGTTCAAACACCTTTGGGCACAGCTCTACTTACCTTAACAATAAGCATTGTCTTCTGAAGGCTTACATTCCACTTTTCTCAGTTGGATACAAGTTAAGCCCTCTGTTGTCCTCCATTATACCCATTGGTCTCTGAGAAATGCCTGTGTCATTCATCCTTGTAGAACAAGGTGCATACTCAAAAATGCAAATAAAGTAGCACATCGAATGTGTGTGTGTGGGGGAAGGGGCTCAGGGGTGGTGGATAGTGGACAGTGTTTGCTGAAAGCTCCCTGGCTCTCAGGAGGGAGTTTGCAGCTTCTGTGAGATTGTGAGGCCAGCCCAACCTGGGACACTCAGCTGTGCTCTCTCCACACAGGCTCTGGAGCGGGAGAACAGGATGGAGAACTGATAGGTGCCGAGGAGAAAGTGATTAACAGTAAGAATAAAGTGGATGAAAATATGGTGAGCCATTTTTCTCTTCCATTTTAATTTAGAGAGAGTAATTGAGTGAGTGGCCTCGTTTCAGATGCGAACTTCATGCGTTCGTTTCCCATGTGGGAGCAGCTGGGTGGGCCCAGGTCCTCTGGAGGTTTTGCTGTATTGTTTACTTTCTGGGGGTGCGATGGAATGAAGAGCTATTTTCAGCAATAACTCTCGTTAACTAGTAGGAAAAGTATTTGCGACTAGAGATATGAATAAGATCCGAGGGGCCATTTATAGTGAGTAGAGAAAAACTTGAAAATGGAATAGAATTCATTTTGATTTTTATATTGTCTTAGGCTTATACCTCCTGTTAATTATCCTGCTAGGATTTTCTATTGTTTGTATTTCTGGGTTGTCCTTGACTGCTTTTGATACTTAAGCGTGGCTCCCTCGTAGTCTGTCCTGGGATGGCTCTCGCAGTAGTTAGCGAAAGGAAAATGCAGGTGGAAGCCCTTAAAGGACCAGCTGTTCTTGAGTCATGTTGACTCAACATTTGCTCCCTTGGGTGTTGGGGCTTGGCGAGCGGAGGTAGCTGGCTGGCAACTGGGTATCCGTCAGGCTCCTGCTTCCTTCACCACACAGTAAACGCAACAGGGAAGCACCGACTCTGTTTATAGTAAGTTTTCCTTCCGCCCCCTTGCTGACATTTTCATGCTCTTTCAGGTCATTGATGAGACTCTGGATGTTAAAGAAATGATCTTCAATGCTGAGAGAGTGGGAGGCCTTGAGGAGGAGCCGGTGAGTGGCTGCGAACCTGTCCCGGGTTGCACGTGTGTCAGCTCTTTCGCTTTCCCGTCTTCTCATTTCAAATGGAAGAGGTGCCCAGAGTCTTAAGTTGTCAAAGGTCCCTCATCCCCATTTGCCCATAGTTTAGGATAACAACTGAACTTAGACTCTCAATGGAGATTGGAAAAAAGTGGAAGTTCTCCCATATGCATGGCTCCCTGGGAAGCAGGCCTGGGTGCTCCTTGGGTTTAGAGACAACACTGAGGCGGCTGCGCCCACAGGGCTGCTTTTGTTGGGGCTGCAGACTTCGTTCTGGACACATGTTCCATGGGGCTTAGTTGCACATCTGCTTGGTTATTTTAGGAATCAGCGAGGCCACTTCGGGAGGACTTCAGTCTGAGCAGCAGTGCCCTCATTGGTCTGCTGGTCATTGCCGTGGCCATCGCCACAGTCATTGTCATCAGCCTGGTGATGCTGAGGAAGAGACAGTATGGAACCATCAGCCACGGGATCGTGGAGGTGAGTGGCTGAGCTTCCTTCTGAATTGGCCCTGAGCTGAAGAACATTGCTCTGCACTGTGGGGAGATTTATGGAAACCAGACTTGGGTACCATTCAGTCTCCCACTGGATTATTAGGTCATGGTTTGGAAGTCGGCCCCAGCCGAACCATGCTGGCCTTGTCACGAAGGGCTACTGCCCACTGTTAACATTCGTTTGGGTTTTGTGAATGTGAGGAAGTCGTAAGTGCATGTCAGGCTGCAGAGGGTGAAATGGTTTTCTCAGATTATTTCCTTCGTGTTTCCTTTTTCCAGATATGTTAGAGATTTGAGAATAAAGGATGGCAAATGTTTTGTTTTTTTTTTTAAACATTCTGCATTTTTTTATTTTATTTTTGCTTTTCTCTCTTAAGGGAGAAAAAACAACAAGAAATTTAAAAAGAGCCAGAATGGGCAGTTTCTGTTCCATCTACTGATTTGTAATTGGAACTTCTTGCCACTTGTTTTTTGGGTAGTGGCAATGTCCAAACTCCTGATTCTAGAAAATAACTACAGTAAAGAATACAATGTGCTGATCTCCCCGGTGGCGCAGGGGTTAAATCTTTAAAAAACAAAAATGCCACAATATGTTCTGGAAGATAAGTTCAGTTGCATGTCTTAGTTACTCGGCTTCCTTTCCTGCTGGACACTGATGTAATTGTAGAATTTCAGGGTTGGAGAAGCCCCTAGAAATCAGCTGGTGCTGCAACTTGTGAAAAGAGCTGGGTCTCCCCTGGTGGCACAGGCAGTTGAACACAGCGCTGCGAAGCTGTCCGCAGCCTCTGCAGCGTTAGTTCTATCCCAGCCGGCCGGCCGGCGAGGGTCACACATGCCATGGCAGACCTCTCCTATCTCGCCCGCTGCTCTACTCAGCAGTGTACTTCGTCGGTCTGGCTGTTCTGTTCCCTGCTCTGTCTCTAGTGAATCCACTCACCCTGCTGCGCATCTGGCCTGTACCCCGGTTCTTGTATAAATAAATAAATAAATCTTTAAAAAATAAATTAAATAAAATAAAAAGAGCTTGTTCCGCTTGTCCCAAATAGAAAGTGGCAGAACGGAGACTGATTAGGCAGAGAAGTTTAAGTTGCTGTTTTCTCCAATTTGGATGATGCTTTTAGGACCTCAGCTTTTTACTCTTCTACACCCTGGCCTCTAGCTCTTGTCTGTCTGCCTGGTGGAGCAGGACACTGGACTGACTTTGGTTTCTGGGGACCCTCGCAGCTTACAGCTGTGACCATGTGCTGTCTCACAGTGTTCCCCAGTAATGTGCAGTCTCTTTCTCCAGGTTGACCCAATGCTCACCCCAGAAGAGCGTCACCTGAACAAGATGCAGAACCATGGTTACGAAAACCCAACCTATAAATACCTGGAGCAGATGCAGATTTAAGGGAGAAGAAGCTCGAGCACCCCCAGTTGGAGTGGGGCGGTGCAGGTGGGCAGGAGAGGTCCAGCATCTTGGATCGACTACTGACCAGCTACTTCCAGAGGATTTCATCTTACATTCAGACCTCCTGGATCATTAAGACTATAAAGTACTACTGTAGAATCACAATTTCCATTCTTTTAAATGGGTGAAAAAATGTTAATATAACAATATATGATATATAAACCTTAAATGAAATGAAAAAATGATCTATTGCAGATATTTGACTGATGTAGTTTACTTTTTTTAAAATTAATCAGAAATCCCACTTTTATCGTATTGTCTCATACATGCTATCTATACAAATGGAAAATGTTGATTTTCAGTGATAGACTATATATATGCAGGCTGTTTGTTCCAGTTGCGTTGTATAAATCAACTCTATAAGGCTCTTTCACTGTCCTGGTTTTTATAAAAAAAAGAAAAGAGAAGAAGGCAGTATTCCCTTTTTAATGAGCTTTCAGGAAGTTGCTGAGGAATGGAATGAAACGGAACTGTGATGTCCGGGGAAGCACGTCGTGATAGCCTCTCCGAATCATCGTCGTCGAGGACCAGTTCCTTGGAAGGCTGGTGTTCCCACTGCTCGGTGTCCACACGAGCCCCGTCAACAAGGAGGTTCACAGCATTTGAGTCCCAGCACCTCTTAGTGAGCCTAATGTATAGAGACTAGGGCCGCCAGTACTGCTTTCCTTTTAAATCCAGTTCTTCCACAGAAATTAGCTGGTAGTTTGTATATGATGTTCTTCCACCGCCCGCCATTTACCACTCACTCCTTCCCCAGGAATGTCCTGACTTGCTTTTTCCTCCGTGGACACTTCCCTCTGAAGGCACTGACCCCACCTTGCCCCACCGCACCCTGACCTCTCTGCTGTCCCCTCCTGCCACCACCCCCCTTGGTGTCCCTCAGAAAGACAACAGTGGCAGGTGGGGTTTGCTTTCTTGTGGAAGAGGCTGTTCCACACTGTGTGTCTGTGAACATGTGGAAAGCTGTGAAGATTGTTTCCTACACACGTCTTTGTAATGCCTGTATAGTTGATGTTGATGCTCACAGCCTATTCTTTTTTTTTTTTTTTTTACTCTGAAGGTTCCCGTAACTGTGGTGTATTTTTTTTCTATTTCCCTGTGACTGTTTTTTTTTTTTTTTTCCTCCCCAAACCCCTACCCATGTCTCTTCCTACTATGCACAGATAAACTTCACCTACAAACTTCTTAACTTGATCTGTGGAGAATGTACAGTTTAAACACATCAATAAATACTTTAACTTCCACCAAGAATCTGTGTTTTATTGCCCTGGCGGGAATTGGGAGGAGGGTGGGGTGACTTTAACCCTCCTACCATGAGACTCTTCTGGTACCTTCCGTGGAGAGCTGAGTGGCAGAGGCAGGGATGGTCTAATTGTGCAAGCTGGACTCTTGGGCCTGAATTTCATTTCTCATATAAAAAATAAGAAGATATTGTAAATAGTGCTGCGATAAACATTGGAGTGCAGGGTTCCTTTCAGATTAGTGTTTTTGGGTCCTTTCTGTATGGTCTATATGCACAATACTCAGCAATCAAAGATAAACTTGTCATTTGTGGCAACGTATATGGAGCTGGATGGGATTATGCTGAAGTAAGTCAGAAGGAAAAAAAGGTAAGTATTGGGTGGGTTCACATACATGTGGAATATAGACAAACCCAACAAAGGATCAGGAAAAAGACAAAACTTGGGCCTACTTGGTGGCTCAGGGATTAAAGTCTCAGCACTATCAAGCTATCTGCAGCCACTGCAGCATGAGATCAATCTCCAGACAGGGAGCTGACCCACAGGGCGCAGCAGGCCTCTCCTGTCTCACCCACTGCTTCCCTCAGTGTGTTTCAGTAGCTCCTGTTCTGTTCCCCACTCTGTCTCCAGTGAGTCGTCTTGCCCCCCACACCTCTGGCCTGCACCTCATTTCTTGTATGCATAAATGAAACAAAAATAAATCTTAAAAAAAAAAACTTTTGAGCTGACCATAGATCTGAGACATAAAGCAGAGGAGGGAAGAGCACAAGGGACTATGGTGATGTCACAGGTGCTGTGGCGGTGGGAGGACTGTGGTGAATACTCTTGAGGAGAGCTGGCAAATACTGTCCAAAAATTTACAATGTAAGAAAATAAATTTTAAAAATATAAGTAAAAAAAAAAAAAAAGACGAGAGAAATTACCTTCCCCTTGAATACAGTGTCTTGAACTCAGAAAAATATTCTTTCATTATTTCCTTCAATGATATTCAGCATTATTGTACTTTGTTTCTAAAATTCTGAACCCTGGACTGCTCGGATTGCTTCTTTAAAAAGTTTTCTATTTTTATGAAGTTTCATTCCATATTCCCGAATGACTGCTTTGTCTTTACCTTCCAGCCTTCCTAGTGAGTTTTGTGATTATGCTTTTAAATTTCGTAAGAGCTGCTCCTTTGTCATACTGTAGTTTTTAGCATGCCTGCTTTTCATGATAATAAAACCATGGAAATTTACAAGGGAGAACTTTTAGAGCTTCCATTCTCTAACTTGTTTCTTTTGAACTATTGATTTCCTGTAAATATACTGTTTGATCAAATTTAAGAATAAAGTACCAGTTTGCTTTAAAAAAAAGAGGGAAAAATATCAGACAAGAGTTTTATCCAGCAAAATTTACTCTAAGCTACCAATTATTTTTAGTATTGAGATGTTTCTTCTTGATACTGGAAGCAGTGAGTGTGGAATTTGAGCTAAATTTTCAGAGCAATGCTTGCAGCCTCTTTTCTTGAATTTCTTCAATAATCTGCCACTAGTAGGCGGTATTTGTCATTGAGGGAGGTTTGTTTACCTGGTAACTGCATTTACAACACCAACCATCCACGTTTTTGGCTACAGGTACTACCATAAATTCAGAGCTAACTTCTCAGTCCTCACACTTGATGTCAACAGCATGATGTTGTTGACACAGCTCTGCAGCTAAGGTAACACTGCCTGTAACTGTGTAATGGCCATGTGTCCACAAAGGCAGTATCTTCCCTGGGAAGGTACTGGAAAGGGAGGGAGAGTGTGTTTTATGAGCCTCTGGCCAGGAAATGCCTTGGGATAAAAACCAGTTGAACTCGCTGGACCTTTGTAACATCAGCACTTCTCTGTCTTGCCACGCCCTTTCTGGCCAATCACCTTGCTGCCAGGAAGGTTATGAAAAAGATGAACATTTTCATTTCTTGAAGCCAGTTTCTACCAGTGTTCTCTGAAGCTACTATCACCTGACCCTCTGCAGAATCCACTGGAAAGTGGCTGTAAGCCTTCACTAGCGGGCTCCAGATCTGGCAGACCGACTTCATTGATTTTAGTACCTGCTTTCCATGTAGTGTAACTGCTTTCCATGTAGTGTCTCATTTAATTGTCTTAAGCCTTATCGCATGGGTATTACCCCCTTACCGAAAGCTGAGGTCTTTTGACTGGTAAAGGGTGGAGCAAACACCCAAACCCAGCTCTGGCACAGTTATTTCCAGAAGGCAGCCCTGGGGGGGGGTCACCCCACGAGCTCCTGCCTGTCAACTAGGACCTGTCCATCTGGTCAGCTATGGGACTTTCATCCATTAGCAACACTCCTGTGGATGGTAGGTGGGCCTTGGAAAGCTCAGGACTGGAGAATGACAGTAGTTTCTATTTACAGTCATTACCCAAATCGGGTCAGTTCAGAGGTGACTGGAGTTTGATTCGACTGCCCTGGTCACTAGGCTCACATCTCTCCCTCCCCTGGAATGACAGATCTGTAGATATGGTATCTATATAAAGCTTTTTCTTTCGAGAGGAAACACCCTTGGGAATGTCTAAGGCAGGGACTGCCCCGCAGGCCTTGCCCTAGGTCAGCTCTGCTGTGCTCCCTGATGGCACCATCCCCTCATGTGGGGTAGAGAAACTTACTCACTGCCTGGTTTCTGCTTTGGTGACTCAGCTTTGCCCTCTGAGGAATGTGGCCCTGCCCACCTTGCTCTCAGCCTCAGGTGTCCACAACTCCCAGCTGACTGAGGGCCTCCTACCTCCCTGACTGCTGTCAGTTACCAGCTGGAGCCCAGTGGCTGAGGCTGAACAGCCCAGGTGCCCTGGCAATCTCTGGTTTGCATTGCTGTAACATTAATGCTCTTAGGAGACCAGACTGGAATGTGGTGAGTCCCTAAGATTTGGGGAAGCCCAGAAGTCTGCTCTAAAGGGACATGGTATGTCACATTACTCATCAGAAGTGGGGAACGTGGACAGAGGAGAAAGGAGGAACTATAAGGGGCCTTATGGCTTCTCATTTCACTGCTGACATGGCCACAAGGTCACATGCTCTTCTGAACAGAGCCAAAGTCTGTGTGATGTGCAACCGGTTCTTTTTTTCTCAGACAAAGGATAAAGTGGGCTTTAGGCAAAAAAGGAGAAGGGGAAATCGCCTCTGTTCTGTCCTGGGGGTGCTTAATGTCCAGCAGATGTTAACAATTGTAGACTGTTAGTGCGTGACGCTGTGGAGTAACCCAGGTATCCAGAGAAATACACAGGAGACACAATTAAAAACTTTTTCTAGACTCCTTGATATGGATGGGGCATAATTTCCTCAGGTATCTTCAGTTTTCTGGCCAAGTTAACCCAGGACTAGCTGAATTTAAAATAATTGGTCAATGGTCCTTTCTGGTTAGAGTAGCAGCCGCCATCAAAAAACAAAAACAAAAAACATTTTCGGGGTGCACCTGGTGGCGCAGGAGTTTAAGCTCAGCGCTGCGAAGCTGTCCACAGTCTCTGCAACACAGGTTTGATCACAGCTGGCTGGGGAGAAACCCACTTGGCGCAGCAGACCTCTCCTGTCTCTCCCGCTGCTCCCCTCAGCAGTGTATTTCGTCAGTTTGCCTGTTCTGTTCCCCACTCTGTCTCTGGTGAATCCGCTCACCCTCCCGTGCATCTGGCCTGTACCCTGGCTCTTGTATAAATTAAAAAATAAATAAAATAAATGAAATAAAATAAAATAAACATTTTCGGTGTGTGCCCTGTCCATATAGTTATTTACAATGACATACATGTTCCATCATGAACAGAAACTTGGAAAGCATTAAAAAAATGAACACTTTTTCTAAATTTTTAAAAATAGCAGCCCAGAGCCTTTTGGGTCCAGTAAAATAAAACTAGTTTTAGTTCAAGCAGAGAAACTGTTTTCATTCTTTCTCTCTTTCGACGAAAGGCCACAGTTCATTCATGTTTCCCAAATCTTTTCTCAGATGTCCTTATTCTGTTGCAGGGTACCATGTTCTTAGTGTATCTTTAAGCTTTAGCCTCTTGACTCTGGACGTTTCTCATACTTGTTTTGATGATTT